GAAATCAAAGCTAAATAGATATTATGATACCAAAGAATATGTTTAAGTTCTACAATGTTTTTCTGGGGCCCGCCAAGCATTTCTCAACTACAGACTATTTTTCTAGATATTTTATCAAATACGGCTGTAAAGGCTGATTTTGTTGTCAGTCAAATACTGGTAAAAACTATTTTTCGCAGAAATAGCATTACCTGATAAAATAAATATTAACTTAAACATTAGTTTAACAATATAGCAAGAAAAATTGAGAACTTGTCCGAGAACATAGCAATAACGCATTTCCAAATTTAAAATAATTAAATAAGTATGTTTTATAAAGTCGCGAGGGTTAAATCACCGTAAATTTAAAGAATTCCTGAACAATTTAAAGCGTGTATATGGCGATAATTTTAGTACTTTTGTCATTTTGACAATGAAGAATAATATCTTCTGCATCGTCTTGTGTTTCACTTTCCATGTTTAGAAAAAGAAAATGTGAACAAATTTTAATTGTGATGCCAAATGTTCAAAGCTAGCAATAAAGCTGTTTTCTTATATTTTCAGTAAACATCGTAATTTTTTATAAAACTTATGTCAGCTCTGAAAAATTTTTGCTTTTGAAAAAAAACGCAAAGAAAATTATGTAAATTATTTTTTTAGAAGTACGTATGTGTGCGAACAATTGCGCAGAAAGTAAATTAGTTTTTCTGTTTAACTATTATTTGTTTTCATTTTGTATTAGTTTTTATATACGCCTATAATATACACTCGTAATTATATAAAATTTATACTTTTTTCAACTTTGTATATTTGTTCTTTTTTGTTGCAATTTTGTTATTTTGTTGCAATTACATTATTTCCGCGCTCAGTCAATGAATATTTTTGACGTAATATTATTTCAGACGTTTGAGTTTATAAAACATCTTCAATTTTATTCAGAAAGAGAAAGCAATTTATTTTTCATGGGTTGTTCAACCGTAATATTTTTTTTAAATTTTGTTTTTTATTTTAATTTTTTTAATGCGGAATGGAAAACTACATACAACTCCAAATTTCACTCTCTTATTTCATAATAGTCATTTAAGCTCGATAATCGATCAATTAACAATTATCGTCTTTTTGTGAACGTTTTTAATAAAAATTCTTTCAAGACTTTTCTGAGCTTTTAGAAAAGCTTAAATTTTTCCCCTCTATCTGCTGCAACATTTTAAAAACAATTCTTTGATATTGGCAACGAAATGGTTACCTTCGATAAAACTAACTGATTAGCAGGCTTATCCTATTGTACAAATAATTTTCGATGTGCTTAAGAAGTTTTTAGTTTTTGAATGGCCTGCAAAAAGGAGCAATTTTAGCAATTGAATTGAGCAATAAAATTTTGAAATTTAATATTAAAATCTGTTTTTAAAAGAAAATTGGATTTTTTTTCAGAGTTATCATAATTCAAATATGTACGTTAGTATTTTAGCGTTGCGTTAGGTAATTTATCAATGTAATTTGTGTTAATTACTTCTATCATTTATATACTACATGTTTATACATTCAGAATTAGTTAGCCATTTTTTATAATAATGATTTTCTAAAAATATTTTCTGTGGCAAATAGTATCCGGGTCTGCTAGTATATATATATATATAAATTACGTTCGGCACGCCATGAAATTTTTAAATTTAAAACGGCTCGTGGGTTGCTCGCCCTTGTTCTAGCATTAATATATGTATAGGCAGTTAGTACTTGATTTGTTCTGTTGTTTTCGTCATCTGAATAACATTCCTTATTTTTATATTTTTTGTTGATCGTAAATAATCAATAATATCTTCTTCTCCAATAAATGGAGGTAGACCTTTGGCAACAATTTTTTTCTTATTCTGGTTAGTTTTTGGATGAGTAAGATACAGTTTAATTTATTTAGCACAATGTCGTAGTTTTTTGCATTGAAAGTATATTAAATGGAATTATTCATATTTTTATATTGGGATATTAGTTCTCCGGTAGCTATTTTTTGTAGTTCTTTAAAATAATTATTATTAGGAAATCTGCATTTCAAATTCATTGGAGGTTTTGATTTTTGTGGTATTAGCATTAGTATTTGCAGTTTTTTACGTTTTTGGCTCTGAACTTGCTGGAAATCTTCTTTGGGGCCTGAAGAGTCATCAGTTGATGCACTGAATTGGTTTTTATTAGAAAATTTAGAGTTGGTTGTATCTGATTGATTGTCCATAATCAGGTCGTTGTTCAGTGAATCAGTATTCATATTTGTATTATTTTCTGATAGGTATTTTGTTACACAATCGGCATTTGGTATTGGATGTATCGTCCAATATTTGTTGAACTTTCACTAAGGAAATTTCATTATAGTTTTTTATATGTTCCAACAAATTAATTGTTAATTAAAGATAATCTTAATATTAATATTATTATAATATCTTAATATTAAAATCACTATAATTACTATAATAAAATAAATTGAATGTATTATGCAATAGATCTTTACCACTCGAAAGCAGCCGATGAACTGGACGATTGGGCACGTTGTATTAGCACTATGTTGGATTTGCTCGCACAGCCCCACAATTCTATGCCATAAGTCCATATTGGTTTTATTACTACCTTGTAAATTATAAGTTTATTGTCAATAGATAGAATTGGCTTGCGTCCCAGAAGCCAGTATAGTTCAGCGATTCGAATTTTTATAGTATTTAATTTTGCGCGAATATGGTGCTTCCACGTCAGTCTGCGATCTAGATGCATACCTAGGTATTTGACACAATCAGTGCTTGGAATTGCTTTGCCGTAAAAATGCACTCCTGGTCATGTTGTCTTGTTCAGTGTAAATGTTACATGGTTAGACTTGCTCTCATTTATTTTTATTTTCCATTTTTTGTCTAATCATCTATAACATTTAGATGCCTTTGTAAAATTAGCAAAGCTTTAGGTGCATCAGCATGTGTCGAAAGAACTGCTATGTCATCAGCAAAGGTTGTCGTTGGGAAAATCACTAGTGAAGAGGATATATAGAAATAGCGCCAACTACTGTATTGCGGAGCTCCTGCCTCAATCCGATGCGATTTGAAGTGAATTTGAAGATTCTAGAATATTATAATAACCACTTGGAAATAGAGATCTAATTTTCGATAGAAGTCCATTGTGCCATTATCTAGATGTGAGCCAAGCCATTATTAAAGGCTTGGCTCACATCCAGAAAGACTGCAGAACAGATTTGTTTGGTCTCAGAGGTATTGTTGAAGACTCTTACGATTCTGTAGCACTGTTGAATTGTATTGACAGCAAAGACCAAACTGATGTCAATATATTTGCGCTAGTTAAGATAAGTTGAAGCAGGATTTTTTCTCGCACTTTTGAGACAATTGGCAGAAGACTGTTTTTTTATATGAGGTAACCATATTATAATATTTTCCTTTTCATTTTTACTACAGATACTTTGTAAAGAGTTGACCAATAATTTAATCTAACTATTGAGTTGAATATATACTTTAGGAGGATGAATCTCTTTTTTGGCAGTTCTTTCAACATTTCTGGCGTCATTAAATCATAACCTGAAGATGTTCATTTAGTTGTGAAAAGGAATTACATTTGAGCTTAGGACCGCAGCGTTAGATTAATCTGGGTTCGGTTTGAAAACTGTACTTAAGTAATGAGCAAATAAATCTGCTTTCTCTGCATCACTCTTAGCCCAAGATAGATGATTGCCGTCATCCCATCTAACTGGCGGATTTTGAATATGTGGTTTTAATTTATTTTTAATTGGTTTCCAGATCAAGTTATCAAATCTATTTAGTTTTGATACTTAATTGTTGAAGTTTTGGTTTGGAATTTTTTTCAATGTGGATTTTAGTTTATTTCTTAAGTTATTGTACATGTTCTTATCCGATGGAAAGTGAGTTGACTGCCATTTGCGTCTTTGCTTTTCTTTTTTCTGAGATTAAATTTTTAATTTCAAAAGACAGAGAAATCTTTTGTTAACTGGCTTTGGCTCAGTGAGTCATTTAGTCATTGTAAATTACAATACAATATAAATTAGTTATATTAAATTAACTTAAAAATGTCTTAATCTATAGCGTTATTTGCATTCATTTATAAAGCTATATTATACTCAATCTATAGCTATATATTAAAACTCTGTACAACTCAATGTTATTGCTGCTGTTACGGATGGGGGTTAGTTAAACCCCTTTGGAATAGCCAATTGAATTTGACTCAATAACTATTCCGAGGATTTGATATAATTGAATATATTAAGTAACTTATTTGACGTTCTCTACGTGCTCGGCGGTCCAGTCGTATGGCGGCTTCAAGTTCGGATATCTCAGTTTGCTTTAAATTCGGATGCTGAGGAAGAAATGAACTCCAAACGCAAATAAATAACACTTGCACTGATTAAAAATGTATTTTTTTCATAAAGTAATATCTAATACTTGGAATATTGCACACAACTAATATGGAAAGCACAAGAAAAACGGTGCACGTGACCAGACAACGCAAGAGAGAGACTTTTTCACACGTCAGATCAGCTATTACATCCAAATCTTTCTGGATTGCCAGAGAAAAAGTGTTGTCTGAATATTAAAAATATTATCTGGCGACATCTAACAGGATTCTGGCGCAAACATATTCCCCAGTCTAAAAGGGCTACCTTTTATAACCCTATAATTCTTTGGATATTGGCCACTCGAATCACTCCATCGGCACCTAGAAAACTTCTACTCTTTCTTCCATCCAATGGAGCAGGCAAAACCGCCAAAGTCAATAAAGGTGTAGGTAGGAAGTTGAGGATCACCACTGAGCTCAACAAGGGCACTATCATTGAGTCTTTATGGAGAATATTAATCCTTTGAGAGGACTAAGTAGAAATAATTTCGTTCCCAAAACCGACACAACATAACCAATTCTTAGGTCGGATCAAGTGTTCAGGTAGTTCTGAAAACGCCAAAGGCTGCATTTTGATCGAAAGTGAAGCGTTATAAGGAGACATAGTATATTAGAAAGGAAGTCATAGATTTTCAATCATATTGCATGGAAAAACTTGAAAGTTGAAGTGAATCTGATATCGAACCCATTATTATATAACCCAATCGGGTTTCTAGTGCCATAGGTGAACCTTGACCATTTTTCACCTTATTAGTACCCATAACTTCGCTGAAAACATCACATCCTAATATGCCGTCGACCGTTTGAGGCACATAAAACTTTGGATCCGCTAGTGGGTACTTCAAGAATGATTGGATTGATGATACTGGAATCGTGGTTTGTGGTTGTTTTCTCACAATTTCTTGCACAACGTATGCACATACTGGCAATTGATATGGATTGATTGTGGATTTTAAAGTGAAGTTAACCAATCCTATTACGTTTTGTGACGAATTTCCTAATCCAATTACTTTGGCTGAAACTGGTTGAACTTTCAAATGGGCCTTTCTACACCAAGCTAATGTAACGAAATTTTTATCACTTGCTGAATCAATTATAGTACGTAGTGGAGTATTTTTCTTTTTGGTAAAAACCTTTGTTACAGCTGTCGGCAATATTGTTGTATTATGCGCGAGTTTGTTATTACTGGTAGTGCATAAAACTGTACTATTGGATTTTGAATTAGACGAATTATTCTGATTGTTATTTGTATGTAATAACGTATGATGTTGTTTATTACATATCAGACAAACTCTGTTTGATCGACAGACAACTGTTGTCTTGTGACTCAAACAATTTACGCATAAATTTAATTTCTGAATAATTGCTCGTCGATCAGGAATATTCATTTCAAGAAATTTTGAACATGTAACTGTTCTATGTTTTTCTCGGCAAACAAAGCATTTATAATCATATTTCATGAATGATGACATTCTAGATTTTGTATCTTTATCATTAGGTTTATCATATGCGTTATTGTTAGTAATACTCGTCATACAATATACTTGGTTTTTAGCTTGCTGCGACTTATGGAGAAATTGAAGAAGATCTTGGTATTTTGGAAATTCTCCTTGAAAAGAATGTTCAAATTTTTCTTGCAAAGCGGGATCGAGTTTTGAGAGTGCCATAGATGTTATCATAGAGTCAAATGAGTCTTGAAGGTTTAATTGTGAAAGGGCTTGTACAGCTGTATCGAATTGTTCTATAAATAAATCTATTTGTGAAGATGTAATGGTTTTAAACGATAAGAGCTGTTTAAAGTAAGTGGTGGCTAAATATCGTTTATTCTGGTATTTTTTCAGAAGTCCTTTTCATAAAATTTCATAATTATTTGCAGTTGGTAATATGGACTGAAACAATTTTAATGGCGGACCCTCTAACGCACCTTTTAAAGAATGAAATTTGGATACGTTATCTAATCCTGTATTTTCATGTATTAATGCTTTAAAGGTTTCATAAAATAAAGGCCATTGTTGTAAATCTCCGGAAAATTTTGGAATTTCTATAGATGGTAAATGATGTTTGGGAACACTGTCCGGTCTTGACGAATTACTCATATTTTGATTATACAACATTTTTTCTATATGTTTGATTTTTGCGTACAAAGTTTCCAAGGTTCTTATGTCGGCATACTCAGATACAAAACTCGAATCCTCTAAATGCCTTAATTTGTTAATTTCGTCACTTGATTTTATGCATTGTTCTCGTGCATTCTCAATAAGGTATAAATTTTCAAGAAATTTTAACTTACTTGCCGTATTGGTGGTAATTTGTTGAGAAATGTCATATGTTTCTTGCATTATTGAAAAATACATTTCGCTCTTCGCTGTCAATCGGTCAATCTCTGCACGTCAAATTTAGGTGCCATCTTGGATTTTATTTCCTTAATATATTCAATAAATCCTAATCAAAATTAGGATCCGGCTCGAAGGACCAATGTTACGGATGGGGGTTAGTTAAACCCCTTCGGAATAGCCAATTGAATTTGACTCAATAACTATTCCGAGGATTTGATATAATTGAATATATTAAGTAAAATATTTGACGTTCTCTACGTGCTCGGCGGTCCAGTCGTATGGCGGCTTCAAGTTCGGATATCTCAGTTTGCTTTAAATTCGGATGCTGAGGAAGAAATGAACTCCAAACACAAATAAGTAACACTTGCACTGATTAAAAAGGTATTTATTTCATAAAGTAATATCTAATACTTGGAATATCGCACACAACTAATATGGAAAGCACAAGAAAAACGGTGCACGTGATCAGACAACGCGAGAGAGACTTTTTCACACGTCAGATCAGCTATTACATCTAAATCTTTCTGGATTGCCAGAGAAAAAGTGTTGTCTGAATATTAAAAATATTATCTGGCGACATCTAACAGGATTTTGGCGCAAACAGCTGCTAATGATAACCCTAGCATTTATAGGAAATGTCACATTCCGTTGTAGAAGCTTATTAAACCGTTGTAGAAGCTTATTTATCCGTTGCCTTTCATGTAGTGGGCCAACTCCACAATATGCGATTTATTCTGTCCAGTAAGTTGCTGCACAAACAGAACGGGTCTAGTTTAATCTCAATCCTAAAAAGGTGAACATTGTTCTTCGTGTGCGCCAATCTTAATTTGCATATTGTAGATATTTCTTTTCTATTCCAATTCATTTTTTCAAACCATGTATTTTTAGACACCATCGGTTTATATGGTCGGAACAATATTTCATTTGAGGCTGATTCGAAATCAAACATTTTTTTCCGATGCGAAACCCTCATTACTCTGTTAATTCGTTTCAGATTCACGGCAGGGGCTTTGTTAATTAAAGTGGCTGAATTGTGTGCCTCTTTGGCCAGGCTATCCACCATCTCATTCCCGGTGATATTGTAATAGCCTCTTATCCATACTAATTCAATTTTGTTTTTATTGTTATTTAACTTTTCTATTTTTTGTATACGAAAATTAATGGATTGCCATAATCTTTAGGCATATTTAATGCATGCAATGAGGACTTGCTATCAGAAAGAATTATTGCCTTCTTTAATTTATACTCCTTAATAAGGTCTAGCGCGTTGTCGATAGCCGTCATTTTTGCAGTAAATAGAACGCGTGCATTTCCAGATTATTATTTTTTCACATTCTTTCCACTGCCCTAGTAGAAACGAATCTGAGCTGAATATGTTTTTTACGTAAGCTAAATATTGTTTCCCAATATTTAGCCAATATGATTTTGTTAACATTCGGCCATATTCCGCTCAGATTCGAAATGTGGGGCGAATACGGGAATATGATATTTAGCTTATATGATTTGCTTAACATTTTTCCATATTACGCTCATATTCCTAATGTGAGGCAAATATGTAAAAATAATATTTGTACCATATTGAAAAACATATATAAACCATATTCAAAATTATTGACCCTATATTCTGAGATATTAAATATTATTAACTTCCCGAAGGAGAAGTTTGTTTTCATCAAAAAATCCGATTCGCTAATTTTATGTTTTTTCGACGTTTCAAGCCATTCTGAATCGAATGAGCCCAAATTTCGAAAAAGTATGTGTGTGTGTGCGTGTATATGATCAGATTTTTTGCCGTAAATCGACGTTTTCTCAAAAACGGTTCGACCGATTTCAAAAATTTAAAAGCCATTCGATGTATCTCGATAAGGACTAGCGTTTCTGTGTGCGACGATCGTCCAAACCGTTTTTTTTATAATTAGCAGAAAAGTGAATTTTATTTTGTCCACGTTTTAGCCCGCAATTCTGAATCGATTCTGAAAATTCAAAAACCGTTAGAAAGATATTGGTTTGGAATCGTGCTGATTAGTTTTCGGTAAAGATCGGCCGGGCCATTTTCTTGTAATAAAGTTTTAAAAAATAATTCGACGATTTTTATGATTTTTTTTACGGTAGATATCATAGTCTTCTAGATCATACTAAAATATTACCGCCCTACGACAACTCGTTTAGCTTTAAAAATTTGTCAAAGTTTGCAAAAATTGGTATCGTTTTTTTGGCATTTGTCAAAATTAGACCTTCCATCGAGGTTTGCTCAAAACGCCTGAACCGATTTCAGACATTTAAAAGCCATTTGATGTATCTCAATGAGCACTATACTTTGTCAGTTTTGTGAGACGATCTGTCGAGCCGTTTATTTGTAATTTGAAAAAGAATGTTAAACTTTTCGTCCACATTTAAGCTCATTCTACCGAATCGATTTTAAAAAATCATTTACTCTTCGAAAGATATTAGTTGCGAATAATACCGAGCCGTTTTCTTGTAATTAACAGTTGAAAAAAAAATTAAGCCGATTTTTATGAAACTTTCTTTGGCGATGTATATCATGGTCTTATAGAACTTACTGAAATATTACGGCGTTACAACAAGTAGTTTAATTTTAAAAATTCATCAAAATTTGAGAAAATGAGTAGTTTTGATGACGTTTGTTAAAATTAAAATTAGATGATTTACTTGGTATAACGATAGATTACTTGGTCTTACTGAAAATACTAAACCATTAACGTCCTACGTAAACTGGTCTAATTATAAAAATTATTGATTTGTGAAAATTTGCTTTTAGAAAATACTCCGAGTTAACGTGTTCGTTCGTTTTCAATTATGTTTAATAAATCCTCTCGGAATGCTTCTAATCACTCATAAATTAATTTATTATTGATTAAGTCGATTATTTACACATATCGGGAAGTTCATGTAACTTGCCTCAAGGCTAAATAGCAATATCAACTAGTTTAATTAATATTGAACAAACACCATTAATAAAAAAAATTATGTATTCTCAGTAAATATATACATTTTTTAAATAGTCAATATATTGCATTTTATCAATTTCAATACAATTTACATTTTTTTTTATGATTATAGGATATATAATATTTAAAATATATTTAGAATCTATAATATAACATTTTATGTCATAATTAATTTTATTACAGTCTACTTATTATTTTTCATGATTATAGGATGCTAAGGCGCAAAGCTTGAAAAATTACTTCGACGTCTAACTGGGTGTTGTCGATTTATTTATCCTAACAACTACACTTTTAAATTTGTTCTATAATTGAACTCTTGGTGTGATCGGTGATTATTTAAATAAAATGCGACGTTTGATATTAATATTTATTATAAAAGAAATTATGTTGAACATAATGGCATCAGATAGTTGGTGTTTTTAAACTGAGCTCTAAACTTATACTAAATAAAAATTATTAAAAATTGAAATTAACAATATTAGCCTCGATCGTAAGAGGCTCGTTACATTAATTTATAAATCTGAGGGGCGTGATATCTTATGCTTATTTCAAATCATTTTGCAAACACATAAAAAACTATCGACGCGGATGTAGACGGTCCAGACACATAAATTAAGCTTAAAAATTAAAATATCTTATATCGCTAATGCATTTTGCACGTGATGTGTGAAATGAAATGCAGACGACCGCCTGCATCGCCTTGCGACTGTCCATCATATCGGAATACGACACGACACGACACCCTTACAAAAAATAATTCAGACCACCACCATTGGGAATCCTTAACATGGCGGCGACCTTGAAATAATCTTAATATTATTTCGATATATTTAAATTTACATCAAAATCTTAATCGAGTTAGTCTAATACATCATATAACTAAGTTAACAAGATAATTAATAATTCATATAAACATTAGAAATTAAGGATTATTTCAATGTAACTGAACTCAAAACATTTTTGTTTTTGTTTTATATTCATGTCACTAAGTTCCACAGAAAATCTAAGTCTTTGCTTTTAATTTAAATACTTTGTTCGACTAGCGAAAAGAACCAGTAAAGAATAATAATATCATTATTAAATAATTACACTATTCCACGTTATTATTTATGATATAATATGTTAAAATTGACTGTCTTCAATTAATTATCACTACACGATTTTATTCTCAATGTCAATTGGTAATACACCGACACAACACGAATTCTCCCATCCTCACCTGGATGTACTTCGACAATGCTGCCTAAACGCCAATCTAGCGGGGGAAAATTAGCTGTGCGAAGTAGAAGCATAAATCTCACCTTTAATGATTGAACTGCACAACCCGTGCATTTTTTCCGATTTTGCAGCTATTATTGAGGTACCGACTGTTACTTGTAATACATGAGGTGTCAAATACCTCACTCAATTTGACTGAAACTTCCGTTTTAATTATCACATGATGATGCAAAAAATATGAATATATTGATTGCAAATAATTATTGACTTATCTTATATAGCAAGATTTTGTATATTTAACTTTAAAATTTTTACACTCTTTGAATAATTTCATATCAAAATGAGCGAGAGGCGCGGATCGTTTCAATGCGATCAGTTTAGAGCTACCTAAATTAATTTGATTATATTTAAACGGCATTCGAAAGACAAATCGTTCGTCAAAGTTTGGTTTAGCATGTGCCACAAAATGCCGTTGAGATTCTAATTCGCAATCACTGAAACAATTTGCATTTTCAACTTTCTCTAACTCCCAAAAATTTTTCACACATTTACTTGAAATTGAAATTTTTGAAAAATTACAGAAAGTTTTATTTGTTAAATCATTTGATTGAATTGTTCCCGAAATAATCCACCCTATTGCAGTATTTTGCAAGATCGTATTAGTTTTGGGCAATTTAATAAATCCCTTTCGTAGCAAACTCCAAAATGAACCTGCTCCCAACAACATATCGATTCTACCACTGATATTAAAATTTGGATCGGCTAATTTTATACCGGGAGGAATTTTCAAGATGTTTGTTGAAAACGGAACCGCAG